AACAACCAGATACATTTGAACCCATACAATCTGATCCAGTTGCATCTGATCCTGTTGCACCTGAACAAGTTGTTTCTGAACCACCTATCTCTGAACCACTTGTATCTGAACATCCATCAAAACCTTCTGAGAATCAACCAGAACCAACCAATCCTTCTGAAACAAATATACCTGAGACAGAGGTTCTAAACGTTACACCTCTCAAGACTGTATTTGAAGTGTCTTCTACATCTTGTACCCCAACCACCTCCTCTGATTCCTCAGAATCTGATATCCATCCAGATATTCTTTTACCTCTCTCTCTCAGAACTTTTGAATCTAACCAACCAGAACCACCCATTTCTTCTGAAACTACCAATCCTGAACTCATTCCTGAACCAAAAACATCTGAATTTGTTTCAATTGTTTCTGCTAAACCTTTTCCATCTGATCCCCTTCCATATGGACTTGATATTGACAACTTTTTTGATCAACCACATCAATCAGCTTTTATTCCTTTTCTTATTAAGGAAAAACAATTTGCATTTGTTCCCTATTTTAACAACCCAAAAGCTGTTATACCTTTCATTCGCAGAATCAAACCATTCTTTCATATCATGTCAGCCCAAATGAAACTAGCATATCCTAGCCCTCTAATTATTATTCCTGAATTTACCATTCCACGACCACCTCAACCTAAGCCTTTCACTTTGGAAACCCTTCTGAAACCAAAATCTAGGTTGAATGTTGATAATCTATTTACAAGTTTTCTAAAAGAAATAAAGATGCATTTAGGCTCTGTTTAGAAGAGATGTCTGTCAACCATGGATGAAAATGAATCTGATGCTATCTGAATAGCTTCATCAACAGATTCAATACTGTAGCCTCAAATCTGAAGAATGTATGTTCTGATGATGCGAAGCTCAGATTTGCTGAGACTGCTAGAAGTTTGATCTGGACTGTTAAAAGATCTGAACCATTGCTTCTTGAAGATGTTCCTTCATCCTCTGAAGTATGTGATACAGAAGTGACTGCTGAATGTGCATCTGAAGAAAACCCTCTGGCTATGACTCTTGTAGAACATCCCTCTGGATCTGTTGCTCCTGACTCTGCATCTCCTATGGAAATTGACTCTGTTCCTGCTTCAGACTCTGCCCCATCTTCGTCATCTGAGGTCAAGAAAGAGTATCCAGATCTTGAAGATGAGATTGCAGTTCTGGAAGCTGGACAATCTAAGATTAAGTCATGGATGGCCAAGCAAGACCAGAAATCTAAAGACATGGCTCAATGGATGTCCAAACAAGATCAGAAGAATGAAAACATGGCTAAGTGGATGTCAAAGCAAGAACAGTCCTCATCTGAGATCACTAACCTGTTGAAGATGATTCTGTCCAAACAAACTTAGTTTTTTTTTTTGCATCTGATGTTTGTGCACGTGTATTTTTTTATCTGATGTTTTGTATCTTTTGCTCTGAATGAATGAATGACTCAGTGTTTTCTCTACATGATTTATCTTTTCTGTATTTCCTTTTATTTGTCTTTTAAAAGTTTTTTTTACTTTTTGATTATGACAAAAAAGGGGGAGAAAATGGATCTGACTGTTCAATAAACTCTACCTAAATGAAACTTCAGACATATCAATTATATCTAACGTAAACTCTTAGTGTTTCAGAATGTTTAATATATCTGACATACTCGTTAAAAGAAACTCTAAGACTCCAGATAATATTTTACCTATCAGACTCTGACTCTGAAACATGCAAGATCTAATGTTTGGAACTTTCAGGCTCTAATTCTGAAAAGAATACTCATGCAAAAAGGGAAGTTTCTATTCCTTATTAGTATTCAATTCAGGGGGAGATTCATCATCTCAGGGGGAGTTATAATTACTTTATTTTCTATTGAACAAAATTTCTTATGTTTTTGTCATCATAAAAAAGGGGGAGATTATTAGAACACAGATTGATTCTTAATAATATCTCTATGTTTTGATGATAACTCTTATGAAATTTTGTATTCAAGAATTATATACTCTAAAATTTGTTTGAGAATATTTGCTGCAGATGTTAAAGTGAATATTACTCTAGAAGCAAATTAGATCTGAACATAAGAAATATGCAAGGCTCTGAAGCGTCAGAAGCGTCTCTTAGAAGAATCTGAACGCTGTCTCCAGAAGATTCTGAGCGCTGCCTCCAGAAGAATCTGAAGCAGAAGCTACAGAAGAATCTGAAGCAGAAACTACAGAAGAATCTGAAGCAGAAGCCAGAAGCATCTGAAGCAATGAGGATTTCTGTATGAAGAGTTTCAAGCCCAGTTACTTCAGAAGACTCTGATAGTACCAACGCTGCCAGTACTGAGGATCTGATCCAAAACTCTGCTCTGAACATTTACACGCTGAAAGCACACTTGCTACAAAGACTCTGATTCAGCAAACTCTGATGAACATCAGAAGGCTCTGACCAATCTAGACTCTGATGATTCTTGCTGAAAATTGTTGAAGAAGAATTCAAAGTTATGTCCGTTGGAATAACCAAACGACTCTTTCCTTATTTATGCTAGACACAAGAACACAGACAAAAAGGATTTCTCTATGCATTCTTCTTCTAGGAAAGGTCATATGATGTGAAGACAAAAAGGCTCAGACCTTTTTGGTACACTGTTCTCAACGTGAAAGACTTCATGGACCTCTGTGCCTATAAAAGCAAGACTCCATTCATCTTTTTCAGTTGACGAAATACTTGAAAGAATTCATTACAAGCTCTCATACAACTTATATTTATTTGCTGAATTTATTTCATTGTTCTTCATCTTAAGTGAAAAATCACAGTTGTGATAAAGTTTTATTATAAGCATTTTTAACACTTGTATTATTATTACATTTGATTGTAAGAGAACCTTAAGAAGATCCAGTTAGGATCAGTAGTTCTTGAGAAGACTTTGAATAGTTGTTCTTAGTGCTTACTATTGTAATCAGTTGATTAAATAGTGGATTAAGTCCTTGTTTGAGAAATGCAAATCACTCTTGATAGGGTGGACTGGAGTAGTTGAGTTCAACGAACCAGGATAAAAATCCTTGAGTTTTTATTTCTAAGTTTTATCTTCATACTTATTCAACCCCCCTTCTAAGTATTTTCTCACCTTCAAGAAGTACTTTTGGATATTTGTTTAAGTATCTAGGATGTCTTATTTCTTGGTGTTCCAAGAAGCAACCAGTTGTTACTTTGTCAACCTGTAAAGCTAAATACATTGCAGGTGTTGTGGTTGTATGTCAAGCTGTTTGGCTTCTGAATTTACTACAAAATCTAAAGATTAAGGTAAACAAGCCTTTGAAGCTGATGATTGATAACAAGTCTGTAATCAATCTTGCCAAGAACTCAGTGCTGCATGGGAGAAGCAAGCATATTAAGACAAAGTTTCATTTTCTGAGAAGTCAGATTCATAATGGAGTGTTAGAAGTTATGCATTGTAACATCTAGAAGCAGCTTGCAGATGTTCTGACGAAAATAATCAAGACTGATTAATTTCTCCACTTGAGGGATGAAATTGGTGTTGTAGAGTTTAGTTAATTGAATATGAATTAAGGGATGATGTTAGAAGTAATTCATATTCAGTGGTAGTAATAGTTTTGTTAACCTTAATCTAACTAGTATAGACTAGCATTTTTGTCTATATGACATTATTGTTTGTGTATATAAACCAAAAGCGTAACCATTTACTATAACCATTTAAAAATAATAATAAAAATTTGTTATTCAGTTTAAAAAAATAATGAAAGTTTATTATTAAGTTCTCTCTTTTCTTCCATGTTCATCTTGTGCACCAAATACTTTGTTATTGACATTTACCCCTATAATATGTTTTGAAAGTGTGGTTTCATTGCGGATTTTTTAAGAGTAGGTATAATTATTTTAACAATCTTTTAAAAGTCAGACATTGTATATTTATATATAAATGATTTTACTTTTAGTAGTAATTCTTTTTGTCACATTAATTAATAATTATAATTGATACATTTTTATATGGTTTCAAACTAGGTATTACCATATCTAGACATTCAAATACCACTAGTCATTTTAAGAAAAAGAGTTGGCGTGGGCTTAGTGCTCGCTCCACTTTATACTAATTTTTGTTACAGCTAGACTCCAATAATGTAGAAAAGAGACTATTGCTTTTAACTTTCCTATGTTAACCTGTCGACATATTTTCCTCCCTTTGTCTGTACTTGTTGATTTTTTAAGTGTTTGTTGGTTGATATTCACATCTTTTGACCTTATTGTCTCTAGCATGTGCAATTCGGCCACTTTGAAAATATGCCACTATACCATGTGCTTTACCTCTTCAATCAAAGTTTATTTATATGAATGAGAATCATAAGTTATAGGAAACACTACACCGTCTTGGTGCAAGGGTTGAAAAAACACTTCCAAGAATTTTAGTTACACTACACATCCTCTAACATGAGATGATGAAATGAGTAAATTCCAAAAGAAAATATTAGTGCAGTTTTCACACCTCTACTCTATTAACATCTTGTGTAGTACAAATGACACAAGAAAATATCTTAACACAAACATACAAATAAAAGAGAAACTATCTTTTTATACACAATTATTCTGATGCAGGAAACAGTGGACATAAATAAAATTAAAACCAGTAAAAAAAAAACCTTGATAAAATAATATATTAGTAGTATACACCATTACCGTACGGAACTGAAGAATCAAATTAGGTCATAGACTTGTGTTACAGTTGTGGTAGTTGTAGTATTTAATTGGGAATTAAATTAAAAAGCAACAAGATGCCAAGATTCGTGCGGTGGAAACAAAAAACATTCTCATTTTGTTAAATCCTTTAGATCCTCTTCAGATCTAAAAAGATTATTAACATTTCATCTTCCCTACTCCATTCTCTAAACTATAATAATAACTTTAATAAACTTGATTTTAAAAAAAGATAATAATCGAAAAACAGAAAGAAAGAAAAAAGGGAAAGAGTTAATCCCAATTTTTATGATTTGTCACTCACACGCACCCTCTTGGGGCAAATCCGACCCGAGAACCCGCGAGATCGTAAACGACCCGAAATCCTTGCTGCTGAATGTTACCGATGATAGACAAACCACTCATTGTTCCGGCGAAAGCAAAGCAGAAGCTCCCACTGTTATCCACCGGAATCAAGTAATTCGTAGCTGGAAGTGACACGTCAGCACCTCGGAAATGAAGTACCACCGTCGGCACTTTCACCTCCGTCAGCCCTGACAAATCAAAGCAAGTGTCGAACAGCGAGAATTCCGGCGCCCTCTTCAGATGCGAAGCACCGAGTCTAAAAGCATCTCGCAGTGCAATGTAAGCGGGACGGGTCAATCGGGTTACTGAAGTGCCTGAATCGATTATAACTCCGCCGTTACCGGCGGGATCGAGCTTGAAGAGAGAAGCGGAGACGCCGCGAACGGATGCACCACCAACACTGATTCCGAGTAGTTCGATGTAATAGAAAGTATCGAGTTTAGGGTTTCTGAGAAGTGGAGTAAACCGGGCGGTTCGTGAAATGGCTGAATCGCCAAAAACCATGGACGAGGGTTTAGCTGAAGCGGACCGGTCCACAAGACAATAAGAGAATTTCTGATTAAACCGGCGACCGGTTTGAACCGGGAAAGATAATCTTCCACGTCCAAGTCCTAACAAACCAGCTGCACCAACGAAGAGACCTTCGTTATCATGACCACATCCCAAAGCCACGCGCGCCACACGCGTCTTGCGAAACGTCAGCGTTTCAGTGGAGAAATCACCGAAAGTGAAAGAACCGTCCCCGTAAGAAACCTGATACTGACAAACCTTATTCTTATTGTTGCATCCGGCAGAGTCAAGTCTCCGGCAGAGAGGAGCACCGCATGGGATCCCGGCGAAGGTGCGTGACTTAGTCGGATCGAAAACTGGATCTGCTTGTGAGTAGCATTTACGGCAAGGAGCACATTGAAGCCAAACGACGTCGCTTCCGGTGTCGAGAACCATGTAAACGTACTTTGCGGGAGTGCCTACACCTATGCGGGTGAAATACTCGCCGCTGCCTTGTGAAAGACCGGAAACGATGGAGCTGCTGAAACCGGTACCGGATCTAAGGGGACGGGAGTGGTTGGGAGATATTGCGAGGTTGAAGGATTGGACTCTGGCAGCATCTCTTTGGAGTCGGAGGTGGAAGAGTTGTTGTGGTGTTTTGTTTGAGGAGAGTGAGTCTATGTGGTGTAGTTGAAGTGAGAAAGGTTCAGAGTCAGATAGAAACTCTTGTTCTGATTCTTCAGGCCATGAGAGGGTTGAAGGGTTAGGGAGAGAGTGAATAGATAGAGTTTGGGTTTGGAAAAGAGTGGTGGTCGATGATGAGAGTGTGAAGGAGATAGCTAATAGTAATAGGAAGAGAAGGGTTTTTTTGTTGTAGTAATTGTCTTCCATTGTAGAAAGAGTGAAGAGAAAAGAGTGTAGAAATGGTGGTGGGAGAGAGTGAATAAATAAGTAGTAGTCCAGTAGTAAGTAATAATTGAATGAGATGAGAGTGAGAGTGAGTTACGGTGCGGGGGAAGGAAAGAAAGCGGTTCTGTTGAAATGAGTGTTGTGTGGGGTGGGGTGGGGTGGCTGAGTCAGTGCAGTGATTGTTGTCTAACCATATTAGATTACATAACCCGTGTCAAAATGAATTATTATTATTGATATTGCGTGTGGTTGGGTAAGGTTGGTTGGTGTTGTTGGGGTAGAGCTGGATATCATTACCACTAATGCCTTTGCTTTTATTGTTATTCTAGATAGACAGGTGAGTTATGTTATGGAGAATCTTTCAATGCTTCTTGCAATCAATGGTGGGATTGTTACTGGTAATTATAGTTACCTCCAAGTGCCCAATGCCTTATGCATTTAGTAAATTAATTTTTATCACTAAAGTAACATTAAGTATTGTTAAAAATGTGTTATGAAGATATTGGTAATAGATAATTTTGTCTCTAATTTGGTATCTCTTTTATTTACTTATAATATTAAACTGATTATTATAGTTATATAATCTTTGTTGAAATAATCATTTAAGTTTAAATTTTCCAACCAAAAACAAAATTAGTAGTCAAGTGGAAATTTCTGATAGTTGTCAAGTGGAAAAAAAAATTACATTTTATAATTGATAAAGAAATAAATTAATATATTTATATTATACTATAATTATTGTAGGTATGCTATTTTTCTTTTAAACAAAATAGTAATTTTCATTTCCAAAGAATAGTTGTACCGATCTAAAAGTCTTCAAAAGGATTTAGTTCAACTAAACATTTCCAATCTCGACTGGGCTAATCTATGCTTAAAATGTTAACATTTACATGTATATTAAGCTTTCTACTTAAAGTACATCTCAAGACAATACTATATCATATGGTATTTTTCGAGTCGGGATTTATGCTTTGTTAGGAAAACACCATTTCATTTCTTGCTTGTCATACATTATATATGGGATTTGTCGTTTCCAACTTTTTTCTTTGTTTCTTGTAACAGCCAGTTCTTTTTACTATTTCAACGCGTAGGATTAGTAATCATCTCAAAATGTGCTAACCTATCTTTGGTGGGGAGCATTAACCAAAAGATGAAGGTAGCTCGTGGTCTGGCATAATTATTTAAACACACTTTCTCCCCTCTCAGAGCTTTGAACATGGTTGTGGTTTTATATCTTTTAGTTTGTAGAGTTTCTTCTCTATCGCGAATTTGTTCTACTTTTTCCATGCATTGCAGTACGTTGTTTAGTATCCATGAGCAATTTTGATTGGCATGCCATGTCATTACATCATGGTTCATTAGGTACTAAGAATCAATCCATTTCACTCAAAATTTATGGAATATTTCATATTTTCCTTAAATAGTTAATTGGGTGTCAGTTGGTATTAACTGAGTTTTTAAACACTCTAATTTGTGTCGGTTGAAATAATTGAAACTCTTAAGTGCTCTAAATGTCATCAGTTGGGATCAATAAACTAATTAGTAGACTCTGAGAAAATCAATTATTGATAAAAGAGACAGATGGATATTAATAAGTTTAACGATAATATTTTGGTAACTCTAATATTTGGTCAATTGGTGTTAGATGATAAAATATCAAAGGAAGATATTTATGTCATTAACTATTATTATATAATATAATATAAATATATGTGTTATATATATTTATGAGAAAGAGAAAGATAGTAAGAAAAAAAGAGAAAAGAAAAGAATGAAGAAAGAAAGAGGAAAGGGGAAAAGAGGAGAAACTCATGGAAGAGGAAGAAGAGAAGTTCTTGGATTCATCATTTTCATCATTAATTCATTATCTTCTTCAATAAGGTGAGTTTCATTAGTTAGTTTAGCATTGGGGAAAAACATGAGAATATGTGCGACCACAACCCAGCTTTGGTTCTGCATGTTCCTCTCTTAGGGGTCGCTGTGCAACCATAGCAGGGTACAATTTTTTCGTTTCTTCTTTTCTTTATAACTTTTGAATCGTAACTCGGACCGAGGCACGGTCAGAAGCGTTGAATAATTATGTAGTATTGAAATGAAATGAATGTGAAAATTAATGACATATGAGTGGGTGATGAGGAACACCTTGTGTTGTGATGAATACCATGAGGATTGATTCGGTATTTTGGTGAGGGGTTTGGCTCTAAAAGTTATAACTATTATGTGCTCACAAATTAACCGAGAATTTCGGTAGAGGAATAATGATGGTTTTATGCCTTATGTGAGATGTTTATGCTTGATGCATTATATTATGTTACCGTATGTGTTTATGCATGATATATATGAATGTTATTGTGTGATAATATGCTTAAAAGACTATAAGAATAGTGAGGTAATCTTTGATATTAACTAATGAAATGAATTAGTAAGACGATTAGGTCATGATAAATAACATAGATGGCAACACTTGTGCAAGGATGCCTATATGTTTATCATTGGCAAGTAGTTGTCTAGTTGTGAGGAGAGCTTTGTATGGAACATGTATGGTTTGTGTTGTTTATGGTTAAGACAAATGTGATACCTTGTGATTGTCGAATACAATCACACTATCCTTAGTGATTACATAAGCGAATGGAAATTACGGGTAAAAGGCTTGAGATGAGGGTGTTCCCATGGGAAGTGATGATTCGTAATGTTGATGTTATCCCTTAGAATCTGAATCCATTCAACATTATGTTATGTTTTATCATGTAGTCAGAAAAAACCACTGACTTGTGTCGTCCCAAGAGTTTATGCTTAAGTAGAGCTCCTTTGGGATGTACACACCATTACTTTGGCAGGAGTTCCCTTAAAAGAATGGAGCCTACGGATAAGAGATTTGAGATGGGGGTGGTCCCATGGGAAGTGACAATTCATGTGGGAGTAACCTTGAATCTGAATCCATTCATTTATCCCGTGTGTATTGGAGCCTACGAGTAAGAGACTTAAGATAGGGGTGGTCCCATGGGAAGTGACGATTCATGTGAAAATAACCTTGAATTTGAATCCATTCGTATGTCAAAGTATGCTACAAGGATCTGTGATCCGTGTCGATAACTCTAGACATAGAGTTGGCCGGAAAAAGATGTTTTGGTATGGTTTTTGTACTAGTGATTGTTTGAGTTGTTGAACTCAAGAGACATGTTTCCATACATTGCGAGCTGTGTGAACTCAAGTCTTATCCCTTTCCCCTTTTGACTTGAAATATAATTGATTAGAACCCTATAGAGCTGAGTGAACTCATAAGATAGGGGAATTCACTGAGATTAATATCTCACCCCATTATTGTTGTTTCTTTTTAGGTATTGTTGTAGGTTTAGTTTGCAAGTGGAGTTATGCTTGGGTGTTTCAAGGGAAACCTAGTTTTTACTTAGATCTTAGTTTTTATTGTTTTGGACTTTCCATATCTTGTACCATAGGTTGTCTTTTGTGTTTTAATAAATGGTCAAGTATGTAAATTATGCCAATAGACACTTATGATGGTGTCAGTACCAAATAATAACTCTTGTATGATATAATTTTAGATATATATTATACAGGGCATTACGATTTATCTTCTTTAACTTGTAAATTCCATAACAGCTTTCTAATAATTGCTTGATTTCATTTTACTAACGATGTAATATTAAGTCCGCCTGCATTTGTGGGGTTATAAACTTTTTCCCATGCCACAAGAGCCTTTTTGCTTATCTCATCCATGCCACTCCAAATGAATTTTTTGTAAATTGCTCCAATTTGCTTTATCATTTTTTTGGAGATTGGGAAGACCTGCATCCAGTATGTTGTAACTGCACAATTTACACTTCTGATAAGTTGATACCTCCCTGCATAACTCAATAATCTAGCAATCCATTGTCGAATTTTAGCCACAATTTAATCAATAAGAGGCCTGCATTATTATATAGTCAAATTTCTACTAATTAATAGAACACCTAGATACTTAAAAGGTAAAGTACCAGTAGTGAATCATGTCGCATCTATGATTTTTTTATCAGACTCTTGAATCCAACCACAATACACCTTTCATTTTGCATGGTTTGCTTTTAGCCTAATTGATACTGAAAAGTTTTGAAATTCTCTCATCATTAGTGTGACTGACATATCATATCCTCTAGTGAATAGGATCAGATCATCTGCAAAACAAATATTGGTTATTTGTAATCTCTCACATTTTTTATGCAAGTTAAAGTTCGACTTCCTTTGTAGATTCTTCAAGAATATGTGCATATATTCCACAATGATAACAAATATCATAAGGAATATGGGATCCCCTGCCTTAATCCCCTTTTAGCCCTCATAAATTCACTTTGTTAGCCATTGATAGCATATTTGTAAGAGATTGTGTCGATACATATCATGATCCAATTGATAAATTTTGCAAGGAACTTCATTTCTTTCAATATCTTCCAAAGCTTTTCGTTCAATAGAAATATATAAAAAATGAGGAACAAAAGACAAAAAATCCACTTAGGCCGAACATCATTATCCTTGGGATTCTTTTCCCACAGCAACATGCTCCTACTGAGAACCTTCAGGCTCTTCGATCTCCCATGATACACCTTCCTCACGAGCAGATGGATGTTTGGGTTCATGGGAAATTGATGCCACCTCATCAACCATCACCCCGCCTCTCACGATCTTGAAATAATCTAATTGAATCAAGTCTAGAGTGGGGTACAAAAAGAGGACATGCTCCTTGGCGCACTCAAAGTATATGTCGGCAGTAGACAACATCTTGTCGGTCAACTCCGATACCTTCTTCTCTAAATCCTTCTGGAAAAGGAAAACAACATCCAAAAAGTCATGCAGAGACTTTTTTCAGTAGAGATCTCTCTAGCCTTGGCCTCAACATCCTTCAACCTCTTCCCCAAATTCTCCTCATCCTGCTGAAGAGATTGTAACAGCCTTTGGTGTTCATTATAAGCCTTCGTTTTTCCTAGAGCCTT